CCAGGAGGCTGTTGATATTCTTAATGAAGTCGGATGCATATATTTTCCTGTGGAAAAGGAGTTTACTTCATTGAATATATCAGAAAAGCTAAAGGAGCCATCTGATATGAAAGCTTTTGATAGTGTTGAATTCAAAAAAAGTGCTTTAGAAAGCAAAACATGCAATGAAGGGCAATTGGAAACAGATTTGGGAAATGCTGCTAGCCTAGATACTGATATATTCCATTTGGTGAACTTTGATACTTACTATTCTTTGATTGCTCTCCATTGTTCTAAGGGGAATTTCAGTCAAGCAAATATACTGGCAAGAAGTATCATGAGTTCTTTATCATGAGTAACAAGATTGTTTGGCTACCTTGGTATGGCCAAAAGTTTTGGTGCTTTGTCATTTTTATAAACCTCAGAAGAATATAATGTGGCAGAAGCAGGTATGTTCTGTGCTCTTTTCAAAATTTTGTCAGTTTCCTTATCATTTGCTTTTATAAGCTATAAGTCTATCACTGGTTTCGGAATGAATTTAATAATTGATAATAGGCTCTCGGCTCCCCTGTGCTCTTTCAAGTCTATAGCTCTGGTAGTAATTAAATGGTTTCCCTTTATTTTGCTGATTTTCATTCATTTTCTCCGACTTTATCATAAAGCTCCCATATTTTGGGCTTTTTATCGTGGGCATGGTGATGTACAATCAGATGCTGAAACTTTAGTAGAGGGTACTCCCCCCATCACTTAATAAGAGCACACATTTACTTTGCAAGAAGATTTAGGAAAAATTGTGTGGTTGAGATACAATTACAGGAGAGAAGCAATATTAACCACATAATGATTTTCTTAAAAGGAAATCGGATATAATTTTTTTGCAAGGAAAGAGGTGTATTATTGATAGAAAAACTCAGGATTACAATCGTTTATAAGAAACATATTAATCTGAGACGGCGAATCAAGCAGTAAGAAACCCCCTTCCGAACCTTTGTTAGCTAATTGGGCTAGTTCATGCGCTACTCGGTTGCTTTCCCTTTTAACTAAGCTGAAACGAACCTCCGAGAAAGACAAAGCTATCTCCTTTAACTCCTGGAGTAAGACCCCAAATCTGGAAGCACCTCTAGACGAGTTTGAAAGGTTTGAAAAAATCGCTGCACAGTCTCCTTCAATAATTATTGGCATATTAACCCATGTTTTAGCAATCCGCACACCTTCCGCACAGGCTAGGATCTCAGCCTCCTTCGCTTCAACACACGGAAATCGGAAATCGGATATAATTGTGAGCCACATGATAAATGAAAGAGTTATCATCATCTCCCAACCACATCTGCCACCCTTGTTTGCCACATGATAAATTCAACTACATTATGAACACAATTGAAGTACACAAGTTACTAAAGGCTATGTACAGAAGGTAAATTAAATTAAAATTTAAAAACATTGAGTTTCAAAACAAAGGAGTTATGCATTTATTCTTTCCAACCCAAGCCTTCCATTTCTCTTTCACCACTGTTTACTACCTTTTTCTTCGACTTAGATTAGAATCAAATCACTCAACAAGAATACTACCATTAGGACGTCTCTGATTCTCTCCACTTTCATTTCCCTAGAAAAATGATGTATGGTTTGGCTCATAAGTTCTCTGCATTCAGTTCAAGATACTTCAAAATGTTTACTGGTTACCGTAACCATGCCAATTGATGACATTGGATTTAAAACATTGTATTTTAGTTCTGATCTAGGTTTTAATAAATACTCTTGGGTTTTAACTAATTGACTCTTCAAATATGGAAAGTCATGGGTGGTTTGTTTTTGTGTAATCCTTATTTTTTGGGTATATCATAACTACTTTTAGTTTTGATCAGGTTCTCCGATTTTCAATCATTATGAGGTTATCACAAAGATGCACATGAAAATCCCCGGGTTCGCTTCACACACAGGTGAGATGCTGCAAAAGGTATTAGGTATAGTATCTACGCTAAATGCTGCTCCAATACCCCCTCCATGGGGCACTTAATAAAACCACACAACCCCTTTAGAATTGCAAAAAATACCCTTGAGGGGAGTGGGTTGATATAGTAATGGTGATTATTAAGGGTCACTCTGAGGGTATTTTAAGGTGGGATGACTGATTATTATTTAATTATTTTATTTGGCATTCGCAATGAGGTGTTGGGTATGCCATTATGCTAAGGCATAGATTGATAGATGTGTGTGTGTGCCCGAAATGCAGATAACATTGCAGAAATGACTCTGGAATTAGTTAAGCCAATGCATTCAATTTTTGTCTCATGATTTGGATATGTAAGGCTTCTGCTCACAACTCACAAGCTTCTGGCGAAGAAACTTTCACAATTTCTTCATTCACTAGGGGAATTTCATTGGTTGGGGGGCAATCTCATACTTCACTATCTAAATGCACTCTTTAGCATGGGCTTGTACTTCGTCGTGGTGTTCGCCGGATCCTCATGGCTTTTGCAGACTTTGATTGGGACCCGTCACCTGAAAACAGCAGGTCCACTACAGCATATGTTGTATGCTATTCTAGTGTTATCTCTTAAAGATCACAAAACAACATTGTGTTGAGTTCATGAAGCAGAACATCGTGTGATGGAAAATGCAGCATCAAGAACTTACTTGATTTAGAACCTCCTTTGTGACCTTAGTTTTGGTCATCACTATGTTCTGTGATCATCTTGGGCAAACCTATGAAGCATGCTGCTTTGAATTGTTTTCTTTCTGTGAGATAACGAGTCATGGACCACTCACTTGCTGTTCAATTCTTAAGCACCAAAGACTCAATTGCTGCTGTTCAAACTTTAAACCAAGCAATAAGGGAGTGCTTAGGTCTCCTTTCATTCCAAGCTTGGTGTCTCCAACGAATCCTACATCTTGCCAGGATGTGTTAGATATTATTCAATAATTTGTCGATATGATTCCTCAATCATCCTTACCAATTTGTTGGTTGTTGTTGTTGTTGTATTAATGTAAAAGTCTAACCCTTTTTACTAGATAGTTTGTTCAGCCTGTTGTACACTGTACACATCATCACATGTAAAGCAGTATATAATGATTCCGTTTACATGTATCTGAATGTATGCATTTTCAGCTATTTACAAACACTTTTCTTCTCCTCACACCAGAGTCTGAATGGTTAGAATGTTAGATGTGGATAAACGTGCAAGCAGAAGACTAGAGCAAATTTCATGATGATAAGGTGTTAAAATATGAGAGAAATATAATAAAGAATTTGAGAGAAATCATATGGTTCTGATTTCTTTTTTCTTGTTTGTGTTTTATAATACGGAGTACAAATGAAGGAGAAATAAGTCTTGTTTGTTTATAAGTTGAAATACTCCATACAATATTGTTTCTCCCGCTGAGGTGTAAAGTGAGCCTTAGGCATGCTATTAGTGCTGATTATGTTGATAATGGTTTAAATGAGTAGTCTTCCTGTCCGGAAACAACGGACCTCCGTACGGACCTCGACGTTTAGGCCCCTTCTTGGTGGAATTTTTTGATGAAATTTTTTGAGCATGTTCTTCATCAAGTCTAGTTTATCCATACCAAATTTCAGCTAAATATTCAATCGGGAAGGTAGTAAAATGATTTTTGGAAATTAACTGCGCACTTTATATACATATAAAATGCAGTTAACTTCCAAAAATCATTTGACTGCATTCCCGATGGAATATTGATCTAAAATTTGGTATGGATAAACTAGACTTGATGAAGAACAAGCTCAAAAAATTTCATCAAAAAATTCCACTGGGAAGGGGCCCAAACGCCGAGGTCCATACGGAGGTCCGTTTTTGGAGGTCTTGACATGAACTTTCCCATTTAGTTGAGAAGATGAACACTTCATCATCAAGATAAATATTTATTTTCATGTACTTGTGCACATGTGGCATGAGTTATAGGCACATATATATTGGCAAAAAAATTATTTTTCTCCTTATTTGAATGATTTTATACAATTTTGGTTAGTTTTTTCTTGCAATGTCAACTGCAATGTGAACATTTACAGTCTCCTTGACATTCAAATAAGGAGAGAAAGAATTTATTTACTAATATTTATGTGGTTGTCTCTCATGTCACGTGTGCACCTTGCACATTGTAGACGCTCTTATATTTATATTTATAAGTTGTCTCTTTTTTGCTCAACTTTTCTATTAGTAGCCATATACTAGTCATGTACCAACTACCAAGTACTCCCTCCGTCCCGTTCGAATGTTCCCGCTTTCCTTTTTTGGATGTCCCAAAAAGTTCACATTTCCCTAAATGGAAAGTTATCTTATATCAAAACAGTGTCAAACAGTGTCAAAACAGTAAAATTTACCCTCTGGTAAATTTATTTCTTTAATATGTGTGTAGGTCAAACCGGGAACATTCCAACGGGACGGAGGGAGTATTAATTAGCTTAGCATAATAGAACAAAAGACTGATATAAAAACAATTCGTTATAGCATAGTTTTAAATCGGTGATTGTAATATGTGTTATTGTGTTGTGACTTATATTGCGATTGAGATCTATATTCTATAATGCAATTGCACCACATCACAATTGCAACATATCTGGACGCATAAATGCAACATTAGACCGCAAGCAAGGCCAAAATGACATCTTTTATTTCGCAAAAATTAATTCACACTAAATCGGCTGCAATATCCATACTGGCGTGACAACACGGACGCAATTTATACCTTGAAGGTTTGTCTCCCCGTTTGGAACCGATGCGGAATCCAGCTCAACCAGTTGAGTTTGTGCGAGGAATTTGCGATCTGCAGATAAAAGATATCATCAGAATTAATGAAGAAAGGTACAGAAGAGAGGCCTCTGTGATGTCCCTGTACCGATTTAATGAAGAAAACATAGGCTGTCAGATTGGGACACAATTAATTAACGCATTAATCACTATGACCTTTCGATTCATCATAATAAAACTGGTGTACGTCTAATCCACATCCAGTTCCTAGTTATAACTTCTCCAACCACCTATACTTATTAGTTTGAAGATGGAGGAGTACTAAAGAAAGATTAACTACAGGCTTGTAAGCTTTGTTTGGTTAGTCCGGCCGGAGCTTTAAGCCATGCTCGTCTTACTCTGTTTACTCATTTCCGGCGTCTTTTCCGGCTTACCTGTTTCTTCTAAATCGCCAGCTTACCACGCTACCGATCACTTCCTCCTCAACTGCGGCGCGTCCTTGACCCAGAAATTCGCGGGCCGTTTGTGGGAAACCGACGAAATCCATAAAGAGTTCTTCCCCCCAAACGCGGCAGAAATATCATTGACTCGCACGGCGGCAGAGCAAGGCCCTTCCGTCCCTCAGGTGCCGTACACCACCGGCGTCCGAATCTTTACTTCTCAGTTCACTTACTCCTTTCCGGTGTCCTCCGGTCCCATGTTCCTCCGCCTCTACTTCTACCCTGCGCAGTATTCCGACGACGGCCGTTTCAATAAGACTGACGCGTTCTTCTCTGTCACAGCTAATGAGCTAACACTGTTGAGTAACTTCAGCGCGTATCTCGCCGTCGTCTCCGGCGTTGACCCGCCTGTTGTTTTCAAAGAGTATATCGTTAACGTGGATGACTATCAGAGGCTCAATGTGACCTTCACTCCTTCTCCGAACTCTTATGCATTCGTGAACGGAATCGAAATCGTTTCGATTCCGACGGGGTATTATGTACGCGGGGAAGACGACGAGGCTGCCGAAGATGATCAGGTAACATGGGTCGGATCTGGTACTCCATTTTACATCTCCAACAACACCGCGCTTGAGACGGTGTACAGGCTGAACGTTGGCGGTAATACCATTTCGCCGGAAGATGACTCCGGGATGTTCCGGACCTGGTATAGCGACGATAGCTTTCTCATCGGATATGGATATCAGACGCCTTCACTGGATGTTGACATCGACTACACTCCGTCGACGCCGGCGTACTCTGCTCCGGAGACGGTATATACTACCTCGAGGACGATATCGAATTACAGCAATGCTGTCAATTGGACATTCCCGGTCGATTCAGGGTTTAATTATCTCTTCAGGCTCTATTTCTGCGAGTTCATGAAGGAGATCACGATGGCTAATCAACGGGTTTTCTCAGTCGACATTGATAACACAACGGCGGAGAGACACATGGATGTTATTATGCTGGCCGGAGGTTCCAGAATTCCGATCTTAAAGGACTATGTAGATTACGTGGCCCCGCTGGAAATTGACGGTCGCCGGCGGAAGCGTGACGTTCCGTTTGCTATAAGGCCTAACATGGAATCCCAGTCTGTGTGGGCGAATGCTATCTTAAATGGTTTAGAGATTTTCAAGCTGAATGATACTTCAGGGAGCTTTGCTGCTCCCAATCCGGATGAGCCCGCCCAATCGCCGCCACAGCCTCCCCCGTCCCTTCAGAGACATATTAGGAAACGCGGCGGCGTTCATGCCGGTGCAGTAGCAGCAGCGTGCGTCGGCGTAGTTGGCCTGTTAGTGGTATTCGGATTCTCAACGATCATCTGGCGGCAAAGGAGACGGAGGAGGTGGAGATCGGTGGGGGACCATCCAACCTCCGACGGAAGCAGCGGCGCTGTTACCAAATCATCGTCGTATTGGGCGGCGCCGCCGTTGTCTCCTCTATCAGCATCAACGCAAACAAATATCTCCGCCGGCTCTGCTACTTCGTTATTACCCAGCGATCTATGCCGCTATTTCTCACTAGAGGATCTGAAATCGGCAACGGACAACTTCCACGACGATCTCGTGATCGGCAGAGGCGGTTTCGGCAAGGTGTACCGCGGATTCATAGACAACGGAGCAACCACCGTCGCGATAAAGCGGTTGAATCCGGAATCGAATCAAGGGATCCGAGAGTTCCAAACGGAGATCGAAATGTTGTCCAAACTCAGACACCTTCATCTCGTCTCCCTCATCGGCTACTGCCACGACCACGGCGAGATGCTCCTCGTCTACGATTACATGGCCAGAGGAACTCTCCGCGATCATCTCTACAAGACGAAGAACGCGCCCCTCCCATGGAAGAAGAGGCTCGAGATCTGCATCGGCGCGGCCAAGGGTCTACATTACCTCCACACCGGCGCGAAGTACCCGATTATCCATCGGGATGTGAAATCGACCAATATCTTATTGGACGAGAGATGGGTGGCGAAAGTTTCGGATTTCGGTTTATCCAAGGTGGGCCCACTCGGCGGAGCAGAGACTCACGTCAGCACCGCCGTGAAGGGCAGCGTGGGCTACGTCGACCCCGAATACTACCGGCGGCAACAGGTGACGGAGAAATCAGACGTTTATTCCTTCGGGGTGGTCCTGTTCGAAGTTCTCTGTGCAAGGCCTGCCGTTATCCCGGCGTTGACCAAGGAAAGGGTCAATTTAGCGGAGTGGGCGAGGCAGAGTTACCGGCGTGGAACGGTGGAGGAAATGGTGGACCCGAGACTGTTCTTAGGTGATGAAGAGGAGGAAGGAGATATTGCTCCCGAGTGTTTGAGCAAGTTTGCTGAAATAGCCTGTAACTGCTTGAAGGATCAAGGGATTGAACGGCCGGCGATGAGTGATGTGGTTTGGGGGCTTGAATTTGCATTGCAGCTGCAGGAAGCGGCGGAGAAGATGATGAACAGTACTCTTCAAGCTTCCGGCAGCGGCGATAGTTGCGGCGAGGTCTCCATAGCCACCAGCCCATCTCTTCCCCTGGCCGGAAAGGAGGGAGAGTCAATAACGGAGATCGAGAACAGCGGGGGATTTTTCTCGACGACGGATGAAGTTTTGGCCCTGTTTACAAGCACCGGAGGTACTGCCACCGCCACGTCCACCGCCAGCAGCAGCCGGTATCAGTCTGATAATAATGTGTTCTCGCTGCTCAATGACAGAATGGGGCGTTAATTTACCTATTCCGATGGCTATTCATTGTCATTTTTTTACTCTAAATTACTCCGTATAAAAATTCAATTGTTTCAGTTATTTCAAACTGGGAGGTCAAACGGTCAACTTCTGGTTTTCAGGTTATTTCATGCCATTACATGGGTTTTTTATTAAATGCATGAGGACTAAATTGTATTTCTAAAACAAAAATATTTTATATGTGGATAAAATATCATGAATTTGGAAAAATATGTGATGGAAAATGGGGATCCAAACATATATTATTAGAAAAAGATTTAATTTTATCATTTAACACTCTGACTCGCAAGGTCCTTCTTTGATATTCTTGTTTTTTGCTTTTTGATCCAAATCAACATAAATTTCTATTGTCATCACAACCAACATAAGTTTCTATTGCGCTTAACTGATAATAATTCCTTTGACCACCTTGTTGTGTTGAGCAGTACTTTTGATATTTGATCCTTAATAAACATGTGTTTGTAGTAATTATATGTATTGGGGTATTTGACCCCTTTTGTGTCCATCAGTGCTTCACTAAGCTATATATTAACACATGTATTATATTCTTCAATTATAAATTATATTCCATTCGTCTCATTTAAAGGTTTTCGCTCACTATTCTCCGGTCAACGTGCATAGGTCTTAATCTTTTACTTTATATATCAAAAGTTTGTGAAATTTAAATTATTTTTTGCAGGTTTTGTAGCGATTTTAATGTAGTTTCTGAATATGTAAATTTTATTTACAAAAAATAATTCTATCAATGACAGAGATCAATTAACTTTATGGTGAGTCAAACATCGTAAACCGTGTGGGAACCTTAAAGTGGGACGGATGGAGTAATAACTAGTACTACCTCTGTCCCGCTAAGATTGTCTCAGTTCCTATTCACTTGGTCAACACAAAGTTTTTTAATCTCTTACTTTATATATCAATTTTTTATCAAATTTAATTGTGGTTTTTGCGACTTTGTAAAGCTTTTAATGTAGATTCTGAATAAGTAATTTTTTTCTAAAATAATGTGAGTGCAGACAGAGGTCCGTTTTCTATATCGTCGGTAAAATATCGAAAATCGCAACGGGGCCATAATAGTGGGGAAAAGGGAATATTAAAGTAAGAAAATTTATAAAATGAAGAAGTTACACAAATTAGTAAGTGGTTATTATTTTTTGTATCATTTTTTATGTCTCATTCCTCAAATTCAGAACCACCAAGTTAGAATCACATAAATTAGAGCAATAATGGATTAATAATTTACTCTTAACTTCAAAATTGCTATAACTTTCCACAGATCTAAGGGGGTGTCAGAACAATGACATTTCAATAAAAATGAATGGTTGATCTTTTCAGTATTTTCAAAAACGTTGTTGAGTAAATAGGTGTTCACTCCTAACACTTCTGGACGAAATCGTTGAAATGAAAACATTGCAAATAGGAGTACATTTATGGAACCTCATGTGATTCATTTATGGAGTCATATGGAGTATTGTGGTATCACCATTCATTTATTTAGTAGGGTGCTCCGCTAAATAAATGAATGGGGCTACTTAATTTTTTTGTTGCAAATAGTAGTGTTTTAGGTTAGCATTTTGAAATAAGGCATTTCATACTAATTGTTACGGTTAAATATCTCTTTGTAATCCACCAACTTATTCCACTAATCAAACCTGCATAATGATTCCGCTATTAACGATTCGATAACATAATTCGCTAACTGCTAACGGCTAAATGTCTAACACACCCTAGATGCTAAATAACGAATCATAAGAATGTTTTTAATTGATTAGACCAGATCACACCAAGTCAGATTAGACCAAACCAAACTTAAAGTAAATCATACTACGTATAAGACAAGCTTAAACAATAGCAAAATACACATAAATTAAATATGAGAGAATTCCCTAAATAGGAGTAAAAACGTTTTGAAATTCCAAAATAGGAGTATCATGTTTTTTATTCCCTGAATAGGAGTAAATTTTCGCCAAGTTTGGCATTACAAGGCTTTTAACATGGCATTTTCTTCCAACTTGGCAGCTTACTCCTATTCAGGGAATAAAAAACATGATACTCTTATTTTAGAATTTCAAAACGTTTTTACTTCTGTTTAGGGCAATTTCTGATTAAATATTTACTAGATCAGTTAGGATCAGACTTGATAAAAAAAATAATCCAATCAAAAACATCTGAAATGCTAAAGTGAACAGGATAAGGGCTATCATGTCAAAATACGTAAAGCCCATTTGGTGACCATGTGTTTTGGCTTACAAGTCAGTTTTTCATTAAACACATAACTTTTGAGTTTTCACGCTGAATTGTATAATACTACCTCCACCCCCTAAGATTGAGACAAAGAAAAGTGGTGCAGTTTTTAAGAAAAGTGGAGTTATGTGGTTGATAATGAATTGATAAAGTGAAAATAAAGTAAGAATGAATTAGAATACACAAATATTATCAAATATTGTATGAGACAAATTTAGTGGACAGACGAAAAAGGAAAAATGAGGCAATTATAGTATGACGGAGGGAGTAATCAATAACTTTAGAGTTGCTTTTTTCTAGCTGAATTGACTGTAAATACTGTAAAAGGTCATTTTAGTTATTTCACATAATTTTTTCAGTATTTTCTTGATAAAGAAAATGTGATTCTTTTTTAATACATAATTCGGCATTCTGCCAATTCAAACGTTTTAACTAGAACTTTACCAATTTCAACCGGTTAAATTAAGAGCCCGTTTGGTAGCACCAAAATCGGCTGTTTTGGCTGATTCTGCTGAAATTTATGATATTCTGGCTGGAGTGGCTGTTTTGGCTGATTCTGCTGATTTAAGAAAAAAATATTTTAAAAATATATTTTATTAATAAATTAAAGAAAAAATTATATGTAAAAATAGCTAAAATGGTCCTCTACAGTAACTTCAGCCAATACAGCCAGAAAAGTAACTCCAACCTTACTTTTTCGGCTTATTACACAATTCAGCGCGCGAAAGTAAAAGTTACGTGTTTGGTGAAAAAGCTGGCTGATAAGCCTGATAAGCCGAAAACAGAGTTCTCCAAACGGGCTCTAATATTAATCTCAATGTGATCAAGAGCTCATCTTTAGTTGTTAAAAAATACGGACAATTTAGAGCGTCCAAAAATATTTCTGTACTTCCATCATCCAAACACCCGTAAAAGGATTGATTATTGTAATTGTGATAGAATATGGTAGAGAAACATACCTTGACAAAGAGTGGATTGATTATTGTAATTGTCATATACTAATGATAGAATATGGTATGGTCTGTAGGATAAACATAGCTAGGGACACACTATTAATAAGTAAGCAGTGACCTAAAATACATTTCATGCATATGCATTGAGATTCAGATCTTCTTCCCAGCCTTCCTTCGCTCTTCGAAGAGAAGATCTTTGCCTCATGCTCAAGCTGCCAAGCTGGTCTTACCTTCATTTCGCTTCGTTTTGTTAGCTCGAATTTTATCTTGACTGGTGGGGTGATATTGGTGGGCTCCAGTCGATGAAGCGTGAAAGTAAGTTTATGTGTGTTTGTTATTGTGTGAATGCGTAGTGTCTGCGGTATCTGGGAATGAGGGATCTCAATGTGGGCTGTGGTGGTAGATTTGATTCAATGACACGGGGTTGACGCTCTGACTTTTCGACGCCTTTGGTTGGTTGTTACAGCTTCACCAGCTATCGATTTGTATTGCTTATCTTCTGTGTTTATGTGTTTCCCTTCTGATCTACCTTTTTTGTCATTCTTTGCATAAAGTTTACCTTTTCGTTCCAAAGCATTTAGTTGGCCGTTGAAGATTCTATGTTTTTCCCCATATGTCTGTCGCCTGCCTTTGAATTTGGGATAAAGGGAAGTGAAATTGAAATCTGAGCTCCAATACTGAACTGGATTCCTTGCAAGCTTAATAGATTGAGTAATTACACACTCACACTATTTTTGTTTTATTTTTTCCTTTTCGTCTAACACAATCAATTTGTCCTTTACCATGTTTGGTTATATGTGTGATTCAAATTCATTTATACTTTATTCACACGTTTTTTAGAAATAAACTTTATTCACACTTTTATTAATTAATTATGCACTTTCTTGGAGTATCCCAATGTTAGCTAGGAAGGATGTAGTAGTTCCATGCTATTTCTTTATGGTTTAGATTGTTGATTTAATGCATAAAATGACCTCATGTTTTCTATCTAATGTGTTATATAGTTGGTGTGACCAATTGGATTTGAAAAATTGTAAATTAGCTATGCCTCGAGCCTGGGGTCCTTTTTGCTAATGCAGGGTGCAATATTTCACATTTAAAGTTTAGGGCATGAGTCTCAGTAGGCAAGTGGCAACTGCTTACTCGTTTTTTTTCTTTGTTTTTTGCAGTTCTAGCATACCTTAACGATTTGATTGTAGATCTGCATGTGATTTAAATCGGTAAAGCCAAGATCTGTGCTTCTGGCATTGCTGGATTCTGGGAGGGACATTGATTATTGGCGGGAATTAGTTGCTAATGCCTTGTATATAAATGAAAGCAAATCAGGCCTGGCGTTTAGGCATGAAAGATATGCAGATATTGCCTGCAGCTCGGCAGCGATCTCAGTTAAAAAAGCCTACATGGATAATCATTTTGGTTTCTTTGGTTAGCTTGTTTCTGATCTGTGCTTATATGTACCCTCCCAAAAATTCTGCTGCCTGTTATGTATTCTCAACTCATGGTTGCAATTCCGATTGGGTCCCCCCTACTCCCGCAAGAGAGTTAACAGATAAAGAGATAGCATCCCGTGTTGTAATTAGTGATATTCTAAATACGCCTGTGGTTATATCAAAGAACCCCAAGATTGCATTCCTATTTTTAACCCCTGGTGCCTTGCCATTTGAGAAGCTTTGGGATAAATTCTTCCAGGTTTGTCTTCGAGCGTATTATATTTGGAGTTGGATGTTTGAGTTCATTTTTTCCCTTTCTTTGACCATAAATAATGTTTTTTACTTGTCATTCTAGACTGTAACAAACCAGATTTGGTACACAAATTGTATTTACTTGTTGGTGTAGTATATATAGGAAAGTATGTCCTATGTGTTTATCAAATTAATTATTACGGAGTACATGCTAAGGTTATTATTTTGGGTTCTTTGCAACTTACATATATGAATTATATAATTGATTATTAAGTATTAGCGATGTCTTTGACTTACCAAACAAGGTGAACACTCCTAGAGAGGTGTCTGTATAAGACAGAATGATCCACTTTGCTAATTAGTACTCCCCCTGTCCCTGAAAATTCTTCTCGCTTACCTATTTAGGACGTCCCAAAAAAATCTTCCTATTGCCCTTTTTGGAAAGGTTTGTGTGGCTATCATTCATTTACCTTTTTCTTACTCAACCACAATCATACATTTCCACTTTATTCCTACTTTCTTAAACTTCGATCCAAGTCAAAGCAAGAAGTATTTTGCGGGACGGAAGGAGTATCAACTAATTTATGCATGTATAGGAAATTAGAGCCCCAATATCTTTTAGGACTAAGGCTTGGATGTTGTTGTTGTATAGGAAATTAGAGATTTACTGAATATGAATGTTTGCATTATTTTTCACTTTTGC